CTCTCTCTCACACACACACACACACACACACACACACTCTCCCACACACAGGTAACACACATCATCACGCACGCATATTTAAACCCTGCGACACATCTGACAAACCCCACAATACACACAACACACGCGCACACACACACACACACACACCCACACACACAGAGGGATGTTCGAATCCTTCATTCCCATCACCCACAGGTCACACACGGAAGGGCATCCTCACACTGGGACTTTTCTGGACTGGCTGATTGTGGCCCCATTTGCGATCAGATACATACAGGGGGAAGTCCTACTGTACTGTGAGTATGGCCCGAGAACGTGTCGTGTAGTCTTTGCGTGTGTGCTTCAATGAGATGATGGTGATGATGATGATGATGATGATGAGGCCTCACCATTTCTACGGACAGGTGGAGGCAAAATAGCGAATCAGCAGTTGAGATGCCGATGGTGAGCCCGGCTGGCTGTCGGCACGTGGACGAACAGAACGTCCAGGAGCGATGGCGATGGAGATGAAGTCGACGGATCGAACCTGACCGAATAACATAGAGAGTAAGGAACGGAGATGTATTGCCGTGTTTTATTTCCATATGTAATTATAATTAATAATGACGCATAAAAAAAAAGAGAAATCAGAAAACCAAAAAAGAGAAAAAGGAAGGACGACAGAAAAACTAAGGGTGGGCTGCCTTCATCTCTGTTCTGCTGTCTCTCTCTCTCTTTCTCTCTCTCTCTCTCTCTCTCTCTCTTTTTCTCAAAGGCGTTCTTAGTTTATTGCTGTGTTAAAAAAAAAAAAAAAAAAGTTGATTGCTGTGTAGCAAAATAGATGTTGTGTGTATGCATATTTTATTGCTATTAGCCTATTACTATGTTTTCGAGTTTTTAAGAATTCTATGCATATTTTGCAATGATATATAAATGTAGAAATGTGCATATAAATATAAGATTTATATAAAATAATAAACATATAAATTTGTAGAACAATTAACTCTCGGAGGGGCATATGCGAGGAAAACGAGGGCGAAAAAGTGAGCGGCCTTTTATTTAAAAAAGTAAAATAAAATTGTTGCCGGCAACAAAAGGTAAATATAAACTAGAAGGACAACAAAGTCTGCTCTGCGTCGAATCACGATGGATCTCTCTTAGGCCATTCTCGACCTTTGGTACTTTTTTTTTTTTCCCCTTGTGGGACTCAATCTGGCCGCAATTGCGGTGAGATACATCCCCCACCCAGCAAGTCTTAATCTGTGTGTCATCCTAATATGCCCTTCTCGTCACTTCTGAGCGCCCGGCTTCATCGTCCTCTGCATCCTGAATCTTCTCCTGAATTTTGTCCGAGCACGCCACGTCATCCCCTTCTTCTTTTTTTGTTTACGTCAGCCCGTCCTTTTCTTAATAATAATCATTATTATCTTTCTCCTCCTCATCTGTTTCATCATTATCGTCTTCCTCCTCATCTTCTTGATCACTTTCTTCTTCTTCTTTTCTTTTTTTTTTAAGAGTTTTTTTTCTTTTTTACACACAACATATGGGCGGTCGCGGGCCACACCATTCAACCCCCCGAAGATCACTTAGAGCATTTGCTTACATTTCTTTTTCCTCTTGCTTTTTTTTCTCTTGCTTTTTTTTTTCTTGTTTTTTTTTCTTTTTCTT